GCTCCAGGCTGCTGACCCCGTGCTGTCCGGGGTCCCTAGGAACAGTTCTGTCTGCCATTAGGGAATTTTTTCCCGAGAACCCCCGGTAACATTTCGTGAACCCCCAGGGGTTCACGAACCCTAGTTTGGGAACCACTGTTGTAGAGGACAGCCTCGTGCTGGCCATTCCTACCCCTTGGCTGAAAGCATGTGTGGCATTACACAGTAACGTCTCCCTGTCTCATGCCATATAGCAGCCGTTACACAGAATGGTCATACGTTATTCATTCTTGGCTATTACACGATGAGGGTAGAATGGGGATTAAACCCCAAATTCCTCACTCCTAGTCTAGCAGCATCACCAATATCAGATGCACATGCCATAACTCGAAAGATACCCTGTCGTTCTAACAGAGCACACGGTCTTGATGCAGAAATTATGGGGTTAGATTCTCTGAGGTGTGTTAGGCAAGAAGTCAGACTATAGATATTGTGAATGGGTTTTCCTGGCCTCAAAATCTATGCCTATCCTCCAAGTGCTTTGACATGAGTGCTCTAAGGAATCCCCTAAGCCTGCCCCATGGCATGGTGGGAAGGCTGGTGAGTTCCAATGAACCAGAGAGTTACAAGGGCAGTTGGACAGGTCAAAGAGTAGGGACCAGGCAAAGAGTTGTTGTCAGGGAAGACCAGACGCCTTATCCCTGGGAGACAGCGGGTCTAGGAGAAGACAGGCTCTGTATTCAAACCAGGGCTGGCTGGCTTGCTAGCCAGTCATGGTCCACGGGCTTCATTGGAGCAGCCGTTTTCTGCTCCAGGCTGCAGCGGCATTAGCAAGCCAGCGCCGGCTCTGGGCTGCAGTTGCTTTGGCCTTCGGTGGGTTCTGCATGCGACTGTGAGGTGGAGGCACAAGAAAGGGCTGCATCTGTTGGTCAGCCCAACCCCTACAGCCTTCTGCAGCGGTGGGCAAAATGGCCAGCAAGGCTGAGAGCGTGTGCCTAGTCCTGCACCGCCTTGCACTGCTTTAAACATCTCCTTGCGCAGGTCTGTAGGCCTTACCACCCACCATCCTCCTCGGATTACTGGGCTGGCGGCAGGAGTCGCTGCGTGAGACAGTCTGGCCTGGGTTATGCAGGAGGTCAGACTAGATGCGCATAATGGTCCTTTCTACATTAACCCCCCCGAATCATTATAATTTGGGTTCCAGCAACAATTGGAGGCTGTGCTCTCCTGTGCCAGAGGCTACACACACAATGGTTGATTAGCCACTGGGCCGACGGGACCCAGGCCCAGGGGCCCAGCCAACTGGGGGGCCCTGGCAGCAGAAGCCCAGAGTCCCAGCTGCCAGGCAGGTGGGGTCAGCCAATGCGCCCCGACCCTGTCCCCTGCAGAAGCCAGGAGGCGGGAGAAGCACCAGGGTCCCGACCCTGGTCCTCTGCAGAAGCAGGGGAAGCCCCAGCACCTGGACCCCGCTGGGACTCTGGGACTGGAGGAGCTTTCACTCCCCATTGCACCATGGGGCTGTAGTGTGGGGACAGAGGTTCTCCTGTCTTGGTGCTGCAGTGTGGGGGGGGGGAGGAGCAAAAGGGGCTGTGGGGCTGCTGGGGGGCAGAATGGGGAGGGCTGGGTGGAACAGGGGTGGGCCCTGCTCCTGGGGAAGGGACAGAATGGTGAGGGTTGTGGGGGGGGGGGGAGCAGGCAGAGGGGGGGGAACTGGGGCAGGACCGTAGGCAGAAGGGGTGGTGAGGGGCCTCCCACTGGCTCTGGCCCAGGGCCCCAGGAAACCTTAATCCGCCTCTAGTCCTGTGTGTGTGTGTACAAACAGACAGTCCTGCCTGCGAGGAGTCAAAACACACAGGACAGAGAAAGGAAACTGAGGCATTTGAGGTCAAGGGCACACTCTGGCTCACTGGCCGAGCCTGAAACAGAAACCAAGTGTCCTGATTTGCCAGGCAACGACTCAGCCAGGAGGTCACACTGCCTCCAAGCTTGAACCAGTTGGAAAAATTGCGCCCCTGAGCCTGAAATGAAGGCCAGGCACCACTGAAGATGTATTTGGATTCCAGTGGCACACGGACCTTTTGCTGAACCTTCCGCCCTGGGGCTGAATTGCCCGCAGAGAGAGATGTGCTTAGTGAGTCTGAGGCCAGTTCCAGGGGGATATTGTAAGAGAGGAAGTTAGGCAGTGATCACTGTGTCTGGAACAGTAGTAAGTGGCCGTGTCTGCAGCTGTGAGCCCGTCTATCTTTAGCTTGCCAGTGGAGCCGCTGGTGGAGGGGGTGACGCGGCCTTTGAAGTCATTCGAAATGTAGGTGGTGGCCCCTGTTTTGAAGGCAGCTATCCACACCAGGCCTTTTCCCGGGCTCTGGCGCGTCCAGTGCATGTGGTGGTCATTGATATTGTACCCAGAGGCGACGCACTCCAGAGTGACGGAACTGCCTGGCTTCGCAAGTGCAGAACTCGGCTGGGTCAAAGTCACGGCAGCCACCGAACCTGTTAAAGGAAGACCAGTAAATGATAACGGAACTGCCACATCAGATAACCCAGTCAGGGCCGCCCAGGCCAGCCTCCTGTCTGACAAGTCTCAGAGCTCAGTTCTTCAGGGATGCTCCTCAGTTCACTCAAGGTACAGAAAATCCCCAGCCTGCACCTAGTGCTGGGTACTGCCCCTTACCTGGCAGGGAGCACCACACGAGAACGCAAGCGCAGCGGAAGAGCAGCATGCCTGCCGATGGAGCTCAGCTTAGGCCAGGGCACGTATCCTTGGTCAGCTCTCCCCCAAGGGATCCATGGCATTTTAAATAATCAATGGCAGGCAAATTCATTTGCATTTACATATAATCCCGGTGCATTTTTCCCCTGTGGAGGAGAGACAGAAAAAATAAGCCTCTTGTGGGCGATGCTGTTCGGTGCATGTGATATTATAATGGTGAGGCCTCTATCAAAACCTGAATAGAACAGGATTCCAGAGCCAGAAGGAACCCTGGTCATCTGGTCTGACTTCCTGCATTATACAGGCCAGAGAACTGCCCCCAAACAATTCCTTTCGAACTAGAGCATATCTTGAAAGGAAACCCAACCTGGATTCTTATATTGCCATTGATTGAGAATCCACCACTGCCCTTGGTAAATTGTTCCAGTAGAATTACATGATATAAGAACGTAGGGATTGCCAGAGTGGATCAGAATGTGACTTCAGTCTCCTGTTACCTCCACTAGTGACTACTGGACACTTCACAGCTAGAGCTGGGTGGAAAACAATCAGCGGGAACTAGAGAGTTCAAACCCTTAATTTAAAAAAAAAAAGTACTGTAACAGATCTAAATAGAGATGGTCAAATTCACTCCACCCCCCCACCCCCCCGAGTGAATCTTGTCACAGAAAAACATTGCATTTGATTTTTTTTTCAGTAATCCAAAAAGTGAACTGCAAATCATTCTTCTAAACAAAAACAAATCAATTTTTGCTTTCTATTTTTCATTAAGAAAACTATGTTATGGAAGTTGAGAAAATTGATATATCCTTTTTAAAAATGTCACAAGCAGAAACAATTAATAGATTTCAAGGCAAGAAAGGAGCATTGTGATCATCTGGGTTGACCTCTATCATAACAGACCTGATCTCTCACTTTTAATTTCTTTATGAAAACACTCCATTATATCTGTCTGACACAGCATATATTTTAGGAAGCTTTGCAGTCTTGACTAATAATGTTCAACTGCAAGAATTCACTACGTCCCTTAACAAGTATCTCTCTTGTTTTAAGCTATGGCCAGAATTGGACATTCCTTGCCCTATATCGCATTTGCATTGCATGTGTCCCATTAAACAACTCAATGTAAGGGGAAAAGAACACAGAAATTAGCATCACCACATTTACACACACATTTTTTCTTTGAAAATTGTAGCTTTTTACTACAGCTCCCAGAGAGATTTCTGCTGAATGTGAAGATCACTCAGGCTGACTCTCAGTCATGAAATACAAGAAAATAAAACTTTATTTTTGTAGCGTGCTTTCCTTCAAAATTGTTGAAATGATGAGAAAAGTAACGAAGTAGCTGAGATAAAATTTCTCTCTCCTCCTGCTACAGTATTATTTATTGATATTACCACAGCAGCGAGGAGACCCAGTCATGGACCAGAACCCCATTGTACCAGGGGCTGTACAAATATAGAACAAGCCGATGGTTCCTCACAATCCAAGACAAGAGACAACCTATGGATGCACAGCGACCGACAGGGCTGTGCAAAGAAACAAGTTGGAAAGGATACACTTTTAGTGGTGACTGACAGTGAGATCGAAAGTCCTTGTGGTTTTCACAGTTGACAGGAACTACAGAGGTAAATGAAAGCTGGTAGTTCTCTCTCTCCGGTGTACCTTTGCTGCCATCATGTGGCTGGTATAAACATCTTCTGTATCATAATATACATGTAGTAACTAGTAGTCAGAGAGAGAAGGGCCTCATTAAACCCTGCTGTTCCTTTTCTGCCACCATGTAGCCCTTGCACTGTGCAGCCTTTCAGTCATTCTGTGTTCCCATTAGTCAGCCTCCACAACTGGACTCCTCTTTTAACCTCTGTGGTTATTTTCTCCCAAATTTGAGACAGCTGTTCAGGAGATGAGAGATAACGGACGGCTACAGACGACATGAAAACAGGACAGATATTTTAGCATTGTCTGCAAATGTTAGCATTCGTTTCTACAGCGTTTGACATGTGCCCTGTACCACAACATAGGAAATTAGTGCAAAAAAAATTATTTAAAAATGTAGCAAGGGAAGAAGATCAAGGAGGGCTCCTCTAACGGCCTGATGCACAGTGTGTTGCATCTTCCCCTGAATCCCTGTAGTGACTCTGTTGTAGGCATGAGACTGAACTAAATGGACAAGTCTGACCTAGTGTGGCAATGTTTATGTTCCTAAATACAGCACTTCACATGGCTGCATATCAAAGTTCTCCAGGTCATTTCCTTCAGTCTTAACTTTTTCAAGCACCTTTGGAAATCCCATTCCTATTAAAAAGAACAGGAGTACTTGTGGCACCTTAGAGACTAACAAATTATTTGAGCATAAGCTTTCGTGGGCTACAGCCCACTTCATCAGATGCATGTAGTGGAAAATACAGTAGGAAGATATATATATATATATACACAGAGAACATGAAACAATGGGTGTTACTATACACACTATAAGGACAGTGATCAGTTAAGGTGAGCTTTTATCAGCAGGAGAGAAAAAGAACTGTTTGTAGTGGTAATGAAAATGGCCCATTTCCAGCAATTGACACGGAGATGTGAGGAACTGGGGAGGGGGGGGAATAAGCATGGGGAAATAGTTTTACTTTGTGTTATGGCCCATCCACTCCCAGTTGTTATTCAAGCCTAATTTAATGGTGTCCAATTTGCAAATTAATTCCAATTCAGCAGTCTCTCGATGGACAGTCTCTATGTAAAAGAATAAATGGACACAAATCAGACGTTAAGAATTATAACATTCAAAAACCAGTTGGAGAACACTTCAATCTCCCTGGCCACTCGATTACAGACCTAAAAGTCGCAATATTACAACAAAAAAACTTCAAAAACAGACTCCAAAGAGAGACTGCTGAATTGGAATTAATTTGCAAATTGGACATCATTAAATTAGGCTTGAATAAAGACTGGGAGTGGATGGGCCATTACACAAAGTAAAACTATTTCCCCATTCTTATTCCCCCACCCCCCCACACACACACAGTTCCTCATATCTCCTTGCCAATTGCTGTAAATGGGCCATTTTCATTACCACTACAAACAGTTCTTTTTCTCTCCTGCTGATAAAAGCTCACCTTAACTGATCACTCTCCTTATAGTGTGTATAGTAACACCCATTGTTTCATGTTCTCTGTATATATATATATATATGTGTGTGTGTGTGTGTATATATATATATATATATATATATATATATTCCTACTGTATTTTCCACTACATGCATCCGGTGAAGTAGGCTGTAGCCCACAAAAGCTTATGCTCAAATAAATTTGTTAGTCTCTAAGGTGCCACAAGTACTCCTGTTCTTTTTGCGGATACAGACTAACACGGCTGCTACTCTGAAACCCTTCCTATTAGTTATTCTGGTGCCATTCATGGACTGGGATCCCACCGTGCCAGGTGCTGTACAAACACAGGAGAAAAAGATGGTCACTTCCCATGACTATGAATCCAAATGGGATGCTATTGTGAATAAGGTAAATTCCATTCTGGGGTGTGTTAACAGGAGTGTTGTATGTAAGACAGGAGGTAATTGTCTCTCTATATTTCATATAGAGGAGGCCTCAATTGGAGTACTGTGTCCAGGCCTGGGCACCACACTTTACACAGAGCGATGTGGATAAACTGGAGGGAGGCCAGAGGAGAGCAACAACTTGTTCTCCAGGTCCACCAAGAGAAGGACAATTGGTCATGGGCTTAATCTGCAGCAAGAGAGATTTAGGTGCTTGGGAATCCGAGGAGTATGAATTCAGTCACCCTGGTGCAATAGGACACAGACATGCCCAGTCGCTCCCAAGTCCAGAACTGCAATAGTAAGAGAAGGAAGGAGGTTAATTGTTGTCTCAGAAGAATTCTCTGCTTTGTTAGTGGAGTGTATTCTAGTCTAAAATAGAATAGACTATAATAGGCTAATTTAGTCTCGAGAAGACCATGGCAATTGCCAGAGCAGATAAGATGTCCATCCATTCCTATCTCCTATCTCTGAAAGTGTCCTTGGTGAGGCGTCTGTTACTGAAGTTACAAGATGACCTCCGGTTATAGAAGAGCCTTCCCATAAGACAACTCTGTCTGGGCTTTTCAAAGGAGTCTACGGGAATTAGGAGTCAAATTCACAACACAGAGAAACTCCAGGAGAAGTGAATCACATTTGCTTTTAGCTTAAAGGATCCAGGGGAAAAAATGTCCTACCACCTTATCCTTTATCACGCAGAAATGAACAGAACTGGACGGTGAGTAAGTAGTGGAAAGCATACTTCACACCACCAATGAACCACCCTCACTCCACAATTTCATAACCCAGCCTAGCAAATAATTTCTGTCACACTTTAAAAGGAAGACTTCCTATCTATTATTATACTCCAAGAGCCTTGGAAATGTTGTTTAAGTGTCTGAAAGTCTCTCTGCCAGCTAATTACTGTTCTCCTTCTGCAACATCTAATCTGTCTAAACAAATGCTAAAGAACCTGGAGCCATCGGTCCCGAGAGAAAATGCAATGCCTGGGAGTTGCAGAAGCTAAGTATTCCATACATATGTTTTGAACCGCTTTATGCTGCCACTAGAAGTTGCTTTCTTTGATGCATCCTATTTCAAGTACTGCAGTCAACTTAGAACATAAGACCATAAGAATGGCCGCACAGTGTCAGACCAAAGGTCCATCTAGCCCAGTATCCTGTCTTCCGACAGTGGCCAATGCCAGGTGCCCCAGAGGGAATGAACAGAACAGGGAATCATCAAGTGATCCATCCCCTGTCGCCTATTCCCAGCTTCTGGCAAACAGAGGCTAAGGACACCATCCCTGCCCATCCTGGCTAATAGCCATTGATGGACCTATCCTCCATGAATTTATCTAGTTCTTTTTTGAACCTTGTTATAGTCTTGGTCTTCACAACATCCTCTGTCAAGGAGTTCCACAAGTTGACTGCACGTTGTCTGAAAAAATACTTCCTTTTGTTTGTTTTAAACCTGCTGCCTATTCATTTCATTTGGTGACCCCTAGTTCTTGTATTATG